CGTCCGCTTCCTTCCCTTCTCCAAGGCCGATGATGTCGTGGATGAGGGGGAGGAGCAAGTGCAGACATCCACGACATCGTCCATGCTCCAGCTTCCCAGTGCACGTGACAGCAGCAACAGCACCACTGACGGTGAGCCACCAACGGTTCACATCGACGAGGAGCAGGACGAGGATGTCGAGACAGACTTCCTGCTCACGGACTTTGACGCCAACAGCAGCAGCGACACCAACGACGCCAACTACGACCCCGACACAACAGATGCAAGCGACACCGAGGCAGGCGCGTTCACAGCAAGCAGCAGTGGCGACACCAGCCTCACGGAGCCTGCAAGCATCAAGCAAGCACTCAAGAGCCAGCAACGCAAGCAGTGGACTCAGGCATGCTTGGAGGAGATCGGGGCGATGGAGCGCAACGGCGTCATCAAGCTCATCCCACGCAGCGCCGTGCCACGGCAACACACGCCCCTCAAGTCACGCTTCGTCTTCAAGGTGAAGCGTGATGCGGAAGGCACGCTGACGCGCTTCAAGGCACGCTGGGTCGCCAAGGGCTTCAGCCAGCGACCGGGCATCGACTTCCACCAGACCTACGCCCCAACACCAGCAGCCAAGACCATCCTCACTGTGCTCGCCGTGTCCCTGCAACGACAGCACCAGCTGCACCAGCTCGACTTCAAGTCGGCTTACCTGCAGGCTGATCTCAAGGAGGAGCTGTACATGGAGCTGCCGCCGCACTTCACCGACATCGACGACGGCGCTCAACGCTACGCGGGCAAGGTGTGCCGGCTGCTCAAGCCGCTCTACGGCCTCAAGCAAGCTGGCCGTGCATGGGCCAAGAAGCTGCACACCTTCCTCAAGACCAACGGATGGGCGCAGAGCCACGTCGACGCATGCCTCTTCACCAAGCTCCACGACGACGGACAGCGCACATGGATCATCACGTACGTCGACGACCTCATCATCAGCGGCAGCAGCGAGCGCCACATCCGTGCCTGCAAGCAGCAGATCAAGGAGAGCTTCGAGGCAGAGGACCTGGGCCCGCTCACCTGGTACCTGGGCCTTCACCTGACGTCACCAGCTGACGGGGTGTTGCACATTGCGCAGACTCAGGCCATCAACGACATCGTCAACGACTACAACCTGGCAGCGGCAGCCAGCGTGTCCACGCCCATGCGTGTTGGCATCGACGCCTCCAGCATCAGCGAGCAGCCCGACCGACGCCTGCCTTTCCGCAACCTCGTCGGCTCGCTCCTGTACCTGGCCAACCGCACGAGACCAGACGTCAGCTTCGCGTGCGGACTGCTCTGCCGTTACATGGACCGTTACACGACGGTCCACTGGCAGGCAGCCAAGCACGTCGTGCGGTACCTGAAGGCGACGAGCGAGCACGGCCTCCTCTTCAAGCGACGCAGCGGCACGCGCAAGGACCAACCGCTGGACCTGGTGTGCTACAGCGACGCCAGCTTCGGCACCGACCAGCTGACGG